ATTTTTTTTTTGTTTCCTTTCCCCACCTCCTCCCCTGTTGTCTACCATGTGCATCCCTGCATTTGATCTGGTCCCTTCCATATTACCTGGTCCTTACCTCAAGAATGTTTGTATATAGTAGCTTTTTCCCTAAAAAACGCCATTTTGATAGCAAGCATCGAGCTTTGCTGGCAAGGATACCAACTATTTTAGAAGCAAAGCTGATAGACTCAAGAAAGCCAGACTTGACACTGGTGGCAAGTACCACACACACATGAAAATGTAGCAGCCATTGAAGCTTCATATTTGGTGGCACTCAGAATTGCCAGAACGATGAAACTTCACACCATTGCTGAGGATTTACTGTTGCCAGCAACCAAAGACATTGAGTTCTGATCAGAGGCGAATTTGTTATGAAATTGAGTGTACTTTCCTTATCTAATGACAAGGGTTCATGAGGTGGGGAAATAAGGAGCTGATGCCAGGGGCTTAGGTAGAGCAATGTTTTGAGAATGCTGAGGGAAATGAATGTACAAATGTGCTTTACACAATTGATGTATGTATGTATTGTGATGAGTTATATGAGCCCCTAATAAAATGCTTAAAAACATACACACACACACAATTGATGTATGGATTGTGATGTGTTGTATGAGGCCCTAATAAAATGTTTAAAAACACACACACACAAATAATAGTCCAGGACTGGATCCTGATGTACTCTACATTCATTTAAAAGTTGGGGAGGACCAACTGGTAGGCTGGGAGCTTAGGGAAAAAGGAGTTGCCCGACAACCCACAGAGAATAACTAGCCATGCTCTATAAACAAAAGGGTCCTCCCTAAAAGATCAGGCCAACATTAGGTGGCTATGGGAAGTGAAAGGTGAGTAAAGACCAGCTATGTCACATGCACCTTTATGCACACCCACTCAAAGCTTGAGCATGTGAAGTAAAGACCAGCGACACTGTACGTCACACAAAGATGAATGCAGTCAATAAGAATCTATGAATACACACAACCATGCCTATAAAGTGAAGGTTTGGTTGTAGGCTTCCCCTTTTTGGTTCCACCACTCACACTTTGCTGGTGTCTCCATATGCCTCTTCACGCTTTCTGGAGATAGCCCTATCTGATCTGTGAGAATTTACTATCAAAAGCTTTACTTTCACTTATAAAAGTACTTATCCTTGCATCCCAGCCTCTGCCAGGTAAAATCTTGTAAGCATCCAGAAGCAGGCATGGAGGAAAACCATCTAGCTCAGAACAAACCATAACAGAAGCAGTAAAGGTGACCATGAAGGGGAGGAACTATTGATATAGGGAATATCGGGAATATATGGTGTCATGGAAACCAAGAGCAGTACTTTAAGAAAGATATTGATCAATCAGGTGGAACATGCTGAGAAGCTGGATGGAATATAAACACAAAAAGTGTCCTTTGGACTTAACAAAATGGAGGTCACCGGAGACCTTATCATGAGCAGCTTCAGAGAAATCATAGGGACAGAAACGAGGGGAACATCGGTTGGGAGAACGGCCCAAGAAAATGTGAGGCAAACATACAGAAAGTGTGATACATTTTGATGTGAACAGGGTCAGCTGAAAAAAGGATGTAAGGGTCGAGGGCTTTTTTTTAACAAGAGGAAATATGCATGTTTGCGAACAGAAAAATTTGTCTTCTTTCTCTGGTTCCTGAAAGATAATTTCTAAATCCCTGGAATTTCCCAAGTGACTAAAGTGTCTTCATCATCCACAAAGACTTCATACCACATTTAATCATGTTTTACGCTAAGGAGCAACTTCTACTGGGCTGGGTTGGCCATGCCAAAAAAACATCAGCCTGATCTCAGAGTAGAGCTGAAAACTGATGCAATCAATGTTTTATCTACATAATGAAACACCAAGAAGTCCCCATAGTGAGGTAAGCATTAGGCTGTTAGCTGCCCCGAGGGAGAAAGATGAGGCTCTTTGTTCCATAAGGATCTAGTGTCAAGAATCCTGGGGGTTTCACTCTGGTCCTGTAAGGGTCACTAACAACCAAAACCCCCAATAAAAACTCTGGACAGTGAAATTAGAGCACAAGAGAAACAAGTCTTTGGGACAGAGACACCGCATTTTGTGATCCCCTGGAACCTTACTTAACTCTTTACAGCTGATCCTGATGTATATTTGCTGTAATAAAACTATGAACATGGGTACAGCACATTTTGAGTAAGGTGAATTTTTCTAGCCAATTGCCAGTCGCAATTTTCTAATTTGTAGCCAGCAGGTTAGCAGTGTGCCCACCCCCACCCCACCCCCTGCAACTTATAGCTGATGTCTAAAGACTTAGGCTAACTTGACAATGTGAGCGTTGTGCCCTGATCTAACTTCGGTGATTAATTAGAAGAATTGCTATTGGAGATGGTGCACGGAGGATAATTAGAGTTGGTGTTAGATTATACATACTTTGTTATGAAAGTACATGCTAGTTTCTATTACACACCTTTTTTTCAAAGACATTTTAGAGGTCAGGCTTTATAGTCACACACATTTGATAATGAGGAAAATGAAGTTAAAATGACTTTTCCAAAATCACACAGCAACTTAACGATATTGCCGAGTTTAACTCTGGGATTCTATTCCAGGCCGTTATTCTTGCTAAAACATGGCACCTTGTTGCTGCTGGGTCAGTGTGACTCATGGTAACCCTGTATGTGTCACCGAAGTGTACTCCATATGGTTTTCAATGGCTGAATTTTCAGTAGATTCATCAAAGTAGATTAGCCAGGCCTTCTACGGTCTTCCAAGGTGCCTCTAAGGGGGCTCCAACCTCCAATCTTTCAGTAACAGCTGAATGTGTTGACCACTTTCACTACTCATGGATTTCTACAACATAAGAATGATGCTCCAAGCCTTGATATGATTAGAATACGTGGGACCACCAGAATATTAACTTTAAGAAAAGATCAGGGCAAAGCAAGATAATAGAATTTTCTCATATAAATTCTTGCCACCTTACTTGAAAAAAACAAACAAACAAACAAACAAACAAACAAACAACATTGTGGTCAGTCAAAATCTCTATTTTGAAAACTAGGTTCAAGTTTGAATCAATACAATGTACAAGAAAGGGAATTCTTAGAACTGTAAAGTCAACTTACTCAAAATATCTTGCATGTTAAGTAAAACTGCTCAATTGTGGCTATTCCACACAAACATAAACTCATCACTGAGCGGGAACAGATCATTGACACAGATCAACATGTGGAAATTAGAACACTTTATTATAAACAAGTACAGAATATAAGCTGATTTTGTATCAGAACTCTTAGAACTTTTAAAACCATATTTAAATCTAAGCTTATTATTGTAATAGGTTTAACTTTCCAATTTCCAACCTAGAATATACATGTTAGCACTAACAAGGAAAAAAAATCTAAATTGCTCATAGAGAAAACCAACAAACATAAAAGTCTCCCACTAAAACCAAAGCAACCCCAACCAAGAAATAGATTCTGCAAAGCTTATTAATCCTCCAATTTCAAACAATTTTCCAAGGGAAAATAACTCTACTATCAGCAACTTGTTGGATAAAAGCAGAGTCATTATCATTAAGGGAAATTACATTATACATAAGAAAAATGTAAAGATGCTTTCAGAAAGTAAGGAAAAGTAATTTCCGTGTTGGAGAGTAAGCATACTAAACTCTTTCCATTCAACTGGTCTTTGTTAGAGATTAAAATACCTGTGCATGTAAGAAAAGTGATATGAACATGAAACCCATAACACCAAGCTACTCAACAAGTTTCTGTTCAATTCAATCTTCGGAGAACCAACCATGTGATTTCAAAATCCAAGGATGGACTGGTCCCACAGCATTTCCTCCTCCGTCCTTTCTTCGCCTTGACCCTTTTTCTCTTTTCTCCGCTTACGCTCCTCCTTCTTAGAGGATACTTCTCTCTTTTTCTCCTTTCGACTCTTAGGCTTTTCTGAACTGACACTAACTGTTTCCACCTCTGTTTTCCTCCTTTGGATGCTCGGATGTTTGTCTGAATCTGCTTCCTCACAACCTTTTTTCTTCTTGTGCTTGGGCCGCACCTCCTCGGGTTTTTCTCCGCCTTCCTCAAGGTGCCGCTTTCTCTTCTGGTGTATCTGCTTATGACTGGCTTGATGGGCGCCAGTACTGGTTTCTGAGGAAAGGTACTTGAAAACTCCGGATTCTCCACTATATGAGCCACAGTTATATTCTTGCTGACCGATGCCCAAGGGTCCTGTTTTTTCTGAAGAATAGTCCTGGGTCAGTTGACAGTAGCCAGGAGAGTCTAATCTCAGTCTGCTCTCATGAGCTGGGAGCCTCTGAGGTAACCGGCTTTCCAATGTTTGTGGACTACTGTATGACCTTGGATAAATCTGCATAGCCTCAGATGGGAGTGTCTGATTAGACATTCTGTATCTGGGTCTGAAATCAACCTCTTCTTTGTACCCAAAGGTTTCCAAATAGTCCTCTCTCATCTTTCGGAAACAAGTCTTTGGCTCTAAGCCTCTGGCTTTTTGCACTTTTATATAATCTTCAAGTTCGTCTTGGAAAGAGTCATATGTCGTCTTCGAATGCTTCATTAAGTTCACAACAAGGGATTCTCTGTGGAGAAGACGGGGGAAAATCCTTCTTAAGAGATTATTCTGGATATTTCCTCTGCTCATTAAAAGAGCTTCAAAAACCAAAACCAAAGCAGTTCAAATTTAAAAACCAACTTCAGCATAAAAGTGAAGTATTATGACCTCATATGCCTAAAAGCAGCATCAGAGATGGCCAAAGATCTGCCAAGCAGGTTTATTTAAAATATGAATACCAAAACCCATCTTAAGAAGTGGGATGCAGAGAGGGAAATGGACAGATAGAAGAGAGTTGGCATGGACTTGATGGCGGTGAGGGTTTTGGTTTTGACATGCTGGATGCTCCCCTTGAGGTAAAAATGTAAGGCATGCAGAGATGGACAGGGCCACTCTTTCATGGGGTGTGACCTGGTCTCAATGTTCACATAATTTCTAACATTCTGATTTAAGTAGTTCTTTTGTATTTTGTTTTCAAAGGGAAAGAGACAGGAGTGTAGAGAATTTGATCTTTAAAATCTTTACTCAAGCAAAATAAAATTAACATATATACTCACCTGACTAGAGTACAGTAAGGCTTAGTAATAAAAGGATTATGAAACAGTGGGAAATGCTGGGCAGAGTTAGAGATTCAGCTATGAGGTGAAACTACTCTTAGGTCGAGGGTATGAGGGAAAATGAGAGAACAGAGTTCTGGATCTTTTGTATAGGGCTCGGATTTCATTCTAATTGGTGAATGAACATTCTAGAATGTCCTCGTTTGTGCTCTCTCTACTACAGAAGTGATAGTAACAGGGCTAAGGGAAGAAATGAAGGTTGAGAGCAGGAAGGACTAATGTAGGGAGTTTCAGATGAATTTAGAGTAGATACAGTTGTTTATCTCTTTGGCAGGGAGTAAGTTGGGAGGGGGTGGGCCTAATTCTGATTTCTTTCCCCTACTTCAAATCTTGCATAAGCATAAACACAGCAGAAGTTGTATTTATCATGATGATAATATCCTAGAAATTTCTGGTGATCTATGTTACCACCAAACCAAAACTAAGAAAGAAGCACAACTCAAATGAAAGGGAAGATTCTTCCTCTTTACAGAAACAAATCAAGCCTGATTGTGAACTCTATAAACACAGTGATAATTTATCTTTCTAGAATCTTGAGATTAAAAAGTTCAAAATAAAGCCTAATTTAGTGAATCAAAAAATTTAGCTCCTTAAATAGTATCTAATTCTAACTAAAATGATGTATAGAAAATACTATGCTTTGATTAAATATGGGCAAAAGATCTGTATACGCCTACAAATATATACAAATGGTCCATAAGCACAGAAAAATGGTCAATCAAGTGAGTTAATGAAATACCTACCATAATGAGCTATCACGATGAATCCATTTGACTGAAATTAAAGACTGATATACCAGGTGATGGTGAGGATGTGGAGCAATCTCCCATTGAAGGTGGGAATATAAAATGGCTCAACCACTTGGCAAATAGTTTGGTTTGTTAAAAAGTTAAACATACACCTACAATGATCTAGTCATTCTACTCTTAGGTATTTACCCAAAGAGAATAAATATACGCTCATATAAAGATTTGCACACAAAGGCTCACAGCAGTTTTTAATAGCCTAGACTGTCAATTAACAGCTCAATGAATCAACCACGTTGTGGTATAGTCATTACACTGGAACATTACCAACCGAAAAAGAAATGTACTACTGATAATTCAATATGGATGAATCTCAAAATTATGCTAAGTGAAAGGAGCCTAACAAAAAACTCCCTATTTACTGTATGAAATCATTTACATAAACCCCCAGAAAATTCAAACTAAACTAATGTAGAGTAACAATGGTTGCTTTGGGATAAGGGTAAGGAGAGTTGGAGGAATAAAGGAAATAAAGAAACTTGGGGGGTAGGGGGGGTGATCGATACATCTACAATCTTGATTGTGAGATGATTTCTTGGGTATATACAGAGGGCTTTAAAAAGTCCATGAAAAAAAAAAAAAGTCCATGAAAAAAACAAACTGAAAAGTTAGTGAATTTTTCTCCTTAACTTTCCATTGAAGCTACCTCATACATGAGAAGTGAAACCCTATGTCTATGCAAAAATCTGGAAGTTCACAGAAGCATTAGCCATAATAGAAAACAGTAGAAACTCAAATGTTCACCAAACTGATGAATATTCTATACTAATGTAATAGAATATTACTCAGCAACAGAAAAGAATGACTTAATGATACACGAACCTTGAAAACATGCCAAGTGAAAGGAGTCCCAAAAGACCAAACACTGTATGCATCTGAGTCCATCTGAGCCAACAGGATCGGCAGGATTAAATCGTGAAAGCACTGAGATGGGTGCCATCAGGGTAGGTGACTAATTTGGAAATGATGTGGGATACCAATATTAAAAGGCTGAGATAAGAAATCAAGCCTTGACATTTTGTGTTTGAATGCCTGATAGGCTATCTACAGAGGCAGAAAGTAGACGGACTAGCTAGGACTGGGGGAAGTGAGGGTACAGGGGAAATGGAGAGATTGCTAATGGATATGGACTTTCCTTCTGGAGTCATAAATTCAGATTATGGTGATTGCACAGCTAAGTGGCTATAATAAAACTCTATGGGTTATACATTTTAAATTGGCCAATGTTATATATTTATATTTCAATGAAGATGTTAAAAATATTTCCCCGGTCATTCTTGTTTCATTGACAAATGGAATGATGGTTCCATGGCAGGGCTGCTACTTTTGAGATGGAATGGCAATGAAGCGAAGATGCCATGCTCCATGCCAGAGCTAATTTCCAAAGTGACAAAGTTTGCAGCGCTCTGGTAAATTACTCATCCAGAGCTACTATCGTATTATTTTTCAAGCACCATACAGACTAAGTTAGGGTTTCCTACATTTCAAAATAGGAGTTGCAGTTTCCAGGGTGTATCCAAATGCACTGGAAGGAGGGAGGGGTCAGTGGCTTTTACTTCACTTTGTCCTTGGGAACCTCACTGGTGGGGATGTGGTACCCTTTCTGGATGTTCATAAACTGCCAAAAGGAGCTGTAGGGGCTTTGTCTATCTGTGACAATACTATGGTCAAGACATTGATCCAAAAATATTTGAGATAATGTGATGGGAAGTATTCAATAGTAAAAGGACTGGGACCGCTGTCAAGGGGGTGGGAGCTATTTTATGATCTGATTAGAAACAGGCCTAACTAGTACAGTAAGTATAGAAAATCACTTGCTGTAAACTGAATTTATCAAACTGAAGACTGAACAGTCACGTTAATGCTTCCAAGTGAAAGTTTCCCCAATTCAAAGTGGTTGGCAGAGTTCAATAAAGAGGTGAAGGGAGCCTTACCCTTATCAAGCTGAGAACTCGGTGGAGAAATGTCATCATATTTACTCATTAATGGCTCCAGTTTTTCTGTATAAACTCCCAGACAATAAGTGTGTGCAACTGGGGAAATAAAAATTATGACGCAGAAATTTTAAAATCGACTTTTGTGCAACAATCCACTTTCATTCTCCTGAAATCAAGCACAGTATTGTTATAGAGATTAAACAACTCAAAATTTAGAATTACAACAATATAGAGCAATCATCTGGAGTCACAAAATTCATTTTTACTTTCTCACTACTTTGCTTTTCATAAATTTGAAAATGAAAGTCTAACTTTTTAAGCTTGTTTTTACCTCAGGAAAATACATTATTTATATACATAAAGTACATATTTATATATATAAAAAAAGGGACCCTAAACTTACACCTCTGAATTGCAAGATGGCGAGCACCCATGCGTTTTAGTCAAAGAATCAAGTGTTTCAGATGAGAGTTTTACCTGCTTTCAAATTAAAGTATCAGCTTCAGCAGAATAATGCCACAATCTTGAAGCGAATGCTTCTTTATGTTCCTGTGTAGGACAGAAACTACCAAGATGACAGATTCCCTTTTTCCTTATTAATAAACCTTGGGCAATGTGCCCAGTTAAAACACTCCAGTTTCTAGCCTTTCTTAAAGCAAGATGTGCTCATGTAAATAAAGCCTGGCCAATAATCAAAATAGTGAAGTGCTGTGTAGGACGACTTCCAGGAGGGCTCCTCTGCTGTTGCTGGAGTAAAAATGGCATGGCTGGAGTTCAAAGTCATGGAACATGAGGGGATCTTGAGGAAGGAAAAGCACCTGGGTCCCTCCTGGCGTACGTCATGGATCTTTCCAACAGCTTTTCACCACTTATCTCAAAGTTCTTTTAAGTATGGAAATTAATATGCTTATGAGTTAGAGCTATTAATGTATAACCAATCACAAAGAATAACCAAAACATAGGTGCACCTGAGAAGCTAGTATTATCTGAGTATTCTTATTAGGAATTTCTATTGTTTTGAATTTGCATGTATTTTCCTCATTGAATACTACTTTATAATCTCACAATCCCTTCCCCTTGATCTTTGGGCTCTGGAGTAAAAGATCTCCCTTAATTCTCACAGCTATGGCAAGAGAACACTTTCAATCTTCAAGTTAATGAAATCTACTCAGTGAGGGTTTCACGACTAAAGTGGCTTCATAGTATTGATGGTGAAACTGAGACTTGCTCTCTCAATCCAAGGTCAACACGACTGTAATTACAGTACTTGAATCTCAACCACTTAAAAACTAAAATAATGTTGCCAGTAAAATTAGCATGGGAAAAACAGCTCATCCAGGTCTCAGAGTATGAAAAGCACTGTGGGGAAAGACTACTGGTCTTTCTCAAGGCACCATTGTAGTAGTATAGGAATGATACAGAAATGAGAGGCACAACCATATAGGAAAGAAAATTGGAGAGGCAATCACTAATATTTACTATAGAGATATACACAGCATAAGCCTAAAAAAAGGTAGGGAGGGCACTCAAACCCAAACTCACTGCCATCAGTCAATTCCGACTCATAGTAACCCTATGAGACAGAGTAGAACAGGCCCTGTGGGTTTCTGAGAATGTAATTCTTTAAGGCAACAGAAAGCCCCATCTTTCTCCTGAGGAGTGGTTGGTGGTTTTGAACTGCTGACCTTGTGGTTTATCAGTCTAATGCATAACCTCACTAAGCCATCAGGGTAGGTGACTAATTTGGAAATGATCTGGGATACCAATATTTATAGGATGAGATAAATCAAGCCTTGGCATTTTGTGTTTTATATTAGTAGACCATTTCAGAAGTGAGATCTATTGTCAAATGCTTCTAGTGACATCACCAATGCTATATGAGAATCACATGGTGGAACCACAAGCCATCTTTACTTGTGGTGGGCCACTGCTTTCCACGGTGGGCACAAACAAGACCACAGCCATCTCACTAAGACTTAGAAAAGCCCCTCAAGCTACAGTCATATTCAAACAGTAACTTCTAGAAATTCTCCTAAAAAATGCCCCACACCACAATAATCTATACAGAGATCTCTGCCTTTACACTGGGGTCTATACTTCTATCCAATATCCTTAATAGTTAAAACCTATTTTATAAACTTTGCCTGTTTATAAATAGGATGCTAAATCACACATCAAATTTTTACTTTCAATTCAGCCATTAAATGAATGAATAGGAGTCATATGTATTGTGGAGAAATATGGAACTCTCTTTATTCAGCTACTGTTCTTCCAATTATAGAACTTAATTTTAAATTACTACAAACCCAATATACAAAACCAAGTGTGTGTGTATGTGTATATATGACTTCAAAAAGTTCATGGAATAACTCATCTTTTATTATCTTATGAACGTTGTGAAGTTTACTGGTACAACTGGATTTACTGTCAGGAGGGAGTTAAAGATGCTGGCCTGTAATTCACTCTTACTGGGCAAGGAGGACACTGGAAGGCCGGTAATCTCTGGATCCCTGGGTAAAGAATAAAATGACATAAGCCAGGAGGAAGAGATTTTATCTTTCAAATGCCCTTAGCAAGATGCATCTGGTTAAGGATTCTCATTAGCTGCCATTGAGTTGGCTCTGACTCAGGACCACTCATATATAACAGAATGACACACTGCCTGATCCTGTGCCATGTTCATGGTCATTATTGCACTCAAGTCCATTGCTGCAGCCAGTGTATTTGAACACCACCTCACCTAGGGGGCTCATCTTCCAACACTGTAGTGGATAGTACTCTGTTGTGAGTCTGAGGCTTTATTGGCTATTTAGAAAAGTAATTTGCTGGAACTTTCTTCCTACTTTCTCTTAGTCTGGACACTCCCACTGAAGTCTATCTGCCCTGGGTGATCCTACAGGGATTGCAAGTATCAGTGGCAGAGCTTCTAGCATCATTGTGGAAGTCAAAAGTCACCACAGTATGACAAACTGACAGAAGAATGGAAGATGTATTACTGACAGCAAACATCCAGAATATAAGGCGTAGATTCCTGAAGGGTGTCCCATAAACTATACTACTCTCTGGGCTAAAAAAAACGAGTGTGTTTCATAATTTAAACACTCCTGATTTTTAAAGATTCCCGTAAATGCCACTTAATCATCCTTATTTGGGGGGTGGGGTACGGGGTCAGGGACATCTTTGACATATCAGAAATCTATCTCTGCTTCATTTGAGCTTGATTGCCTGTATCCTTGCCCTAAATAGTAAAGTTTGATACTATGTAATATTTCTGATTTGTGTGTATCTATCCGACAGTATGATCTTGAGTATTAGTTCATCAGCTATAGGGAAAAAAAAATCTAAAAAACATATATACAGCTGTTTTTTCAGAAATAGGGTTAGAAAAAAGAGAACATTTAATTTTGTACTCTACGCATTTGTATTTAGTGTTTGCATACACAAAAAGTTTATAATGCCATAAAATTTTAATGTAAAAGTTGTATTGGATATATCTTTATACTAAACTTGAAAATATACACCTGACTACCGTGGTGTGATACTGGGTCTTCTATTAAGTTTTGTTATTAGAAGGCAAATGATGTCTTTCTTTGACTACTGAAACACACCACAGATGGAAAGTTTAAGGAGATGAAGACTATCAATTAGAGGTACAAGATACCTTAAGATAATTATTTTCATCCAGTTCAACTTTTAATACTAGATTTCCTGTTTTTAATAGTCAATGCTCTAAACTGACATGGTTGGAAACTTGAGGCCACCTTTATTTCCTTTGCCCAGAGAGTTCCTCCTTTATTTTTCTGGATTTAATTTTATTGTATTCCTAAACTCAAAATCTCAGCCATTTCTTCTTCTAGGAAATCCTGCTAATTTTAACTTTATGTTCGCTATAGCTTCATTGCTCATTTCTCATATACTACCCAGCTCAAGTTGTCCATGCCTTTAGGCTTTATTAAACTTTATCCCTAATGATTAGGCTTTGATTCGAAAAGGTGCTGTGGTGGGTATTGTAGGAAAGGACCGCTAAGAAAAATGATGACCATTGACTGAATGCCTACTGAGTGCTAAGGCCTTTAAAATCCGAGCTTCTTGAACTCGATTCCCCAAACATTCACTTCCGTGTAAAATACCTTTGTTTCATCTTTGAACAAAATAATCCCTAAAAGATATGTTGCTAACTTTAAGTCTCTCCTGGCACACAGCTGAGTATTCTAAAATCCCCGTGAGTCAAGAGTATCTTCAATGAAGTATGGGCACACAACATTTCTCTGAGTAGATCTTCCAAAGAAGAAAATAAAGCTGGCATGACTTGTGCCTTTAATAGCACACACTGTCATGTTCAGTGCAAAGTATCAGAACCACAAGCCATCTATTAATAATCTGATCTGTAACAACTACGCAGCATTGGCTGTTTTACACACTTATATCCACCCCAAACCCACCAACCATTTTTGAGTAGCAACTAATTTTATCTTTATAGCAACCCTGAGAGGTACTATTATGATCCATATTTGCTACAAGAAGAAATTAAAGCACAGTAAGATTAAGGGGCACAGTTAGCAACAGCTCTAGAATCTGTGATGAATTATAATGCCAGGCTGCCTTTCTAACTGATATAAAGCTTCTCAGTCTGCATTCTGGAATCTATTTTTTCTGCTTGTGAGAACCCAAAGATAATCTCATCTACAGGTTTTACATGTGTCCGTTAAGCAAATGAAAAGTAAACCACAGACTGGGAGAAATGCTCTACAAATTTTGTATAAGACAAAGAGATATCTAGAATAGAGAGCTTTTCAAGACTCAGTAACACGAGAACCCAATTTAAAATGGCAAGCAATTGAACCAGTATTTCAGAAAACACAAATGGACAAAAGAAAAAAAAATGTTCAATATCACTAGACATCAAATATATGTGAATTAAAACCACTATACGATACTTTCACTCAAAACAAGAAATCAAATGCACTGTCATTATGTTGATTCTGACTCAACTTTATATAGGGTTTCAGAGACTGCAACTTTTTAAAGGAATAGAAATACCTCATTTTTCTCCTGGAGAACTGCTGTCCTTGGGGTTAGTAACCTACTATGCCACTTGGGCTCCTAATAACAATAAAAAGAAACTATAATACACATA